AAACAAGTAAGAGAGGCAAGGAAATAACATTGAAATCAATCTCCCTTTGGTTAAGGGATTCTGATTTCAACGGGTAAAAGCCAGTTAAGGAAAGGAGTTTTAATTAAAACCTTTTCAAAGTAGCATAAGAAGGGTAAATACATAGGAGTTATTTAAGGAAAACAATTAATGGTACACGGTTTGTGCTAAATATGGCAAGGGAGTCAATCAAACAGCCAGTGAAACCAAAATTACAAGTTCAATTAGAATGAACCAAGTCAGGAAAGGTAAAGGAAGTTCAATCAAAGAAAATCAGTGACAATCTGTCAGCCTTATTAAAAAGATTTCAGAATCAATCAATTAGTCGGTAAACCTTTTGAAAGAGGAGTTTCTCATATATAAAGCACTCAAATAAGTGAACAAGAAGGGATTGTCAAGTTATTTGGAAGAGAAGTTAATCAAAGAGAGGTCCCGAATCATTAGCAAAAGTGGTATAAGTCTAGTTTGCAGACTCAAAACGAGTCTGGGAGTCCAGGGTCCCAAAATAGAACCCTAACTCGCACACAAATCAAAATTGCCAAGAAACCCCCAAATCCTAGGGTTTTCGAATTGAATCAGACATAGAGGTGAGAAAGCAAGCCACTTGAGAGAGGCTCAGAAGTCTTTTCCAAAGACTTATGAGAAACAAACATACATGATAGAAAGAAAACTAATTCAAGGTCATGAGAACATGTTTGAGAAAACCCGAAATTTACACAGGTTCAGAAGAAAGAGATGATACGAGCTTAAACAAAAGTAGATGAAATATGCTTAGTAAGAACACAAACAGAGTTCAGTAAAGTAAACAAAAATTAAAGAACTTGACCGTAAACACATATAGGAAAGAATAAGGAAAACAACACGGATTAACATGTGAGCACAGGAATAACATGTAGAGTAGAAAAAAGAAAATAGAAGAACAGTACATGCGTAGTAAAAGAATTCAGACAAACGAACAACAGAGTCAGAAAGATGCTTTGAAAACCTTTCAAAAACCCTAAATCGAAAGAAAAAAATGATTTTAAAAAAGGAAATTTGGGGAAAATCTTTTAAACGTTCAATAGAACATAGACATGTTCCAGATCTAAGAAAATAAGCAAGTAAAGAACCTCGGACAACTTAGGGTTGCAGAGAAAAACCCTAGGAATGAGAAAGGTCATGAGGAAAGTCAGATCATGAGTCGAAAAGACTCATATTACTCGAATATGCCGGAGTAATGACCGGTGAAGCCAAAGATCTACAGATCTGAGAAGGTCTTAAAGAGAGCCATCGAAGTCAGGTTTCACAGCCTTGAATAGCTTAGGTCTAATGGTGAGGAAGGGTGAGTACAGACCATCCATGGCCTGAGACGCCATGCATTCCGGTGGAAACCCTGTGAAATAAGGTGGGAGACGATTAGGGTTCCAGGAAGGTTTGAGAGAATTTGAGAGACGAAGGGGTTCAATGGTGGCGTCTCAGACTAAATGAATTAGGTTACGCGGGGGTTTGGAGATTAAAAAGGAAAGGGGAACTTATGGCCGTTCATCAAAACGATCAACGACCTGGATCAAAGGGGAGCCGGGTGGGTTTTTTAATCGGGTTAGGGGTCGGGTAATTTAGGGATTGGGCTGGTTTAATTTGGGGCGAAATTGGGTCAAATTAAGGGTCAAAATTTAAAGGAAATGGGGGCTTTAATTGAAATAGAAATGGGCTAAATATTAAATAGCCAATTTTCCCCTTTTATTTTATAAAAATAGTGAAAAATAATTTTAAAAGTAAATTGAAAGTACTGAGCTAATTAATAATACATAAATATTAATTTAAAAATACTGGAGCAAATTTTAAAATTATAAAATACTATTAATCGTAAAAATAGGCTATAATTGCAATTATATGCAATTTAGCTTTAAAAAATACCAAATAAATTTGTAAAAATATACAAAAATCACCTTAATTATATTTTGGTGTAAATATGAGAATAAAATAAGTTATTCACAAAAAGGATAGTTTTGGGGAATAATTACTGATTTTTGTACTGCTAAAATGGACAATAAATTGATTTTAAAATCTTTAAAAATTAGGGAAAAATACCAAAACTCTTGGGCATGCTTATATATGTATGTACATGCTATTTTGAAAGTATTTTGTACATAAAAATACCTAGGGAAAAATTGGGTGTCAACAGAGATCGAAGAAGTTCCCTTCATTTCGTGTTCAGTGGAGAGGTCAGCTTGCCGAGGCAGCTACCTGGGAGTTCGAATCCGATATGCGGAGCCGATATCCCCATCTTTTCCCCCACTCGGGTACTTCTTTTCTTATGTCCGAAAAAATGAAATCGTCGCGAAAATGAAATCTCTTTATCCCAACGATGAATGGGAATTGACAAAAGAGCTCTACTGAATCGAAAGAATGACTCTCGCGTTTGGAACAGATAAGTTTGATTCGAGGACGAACGGTTGTTTTAGAGGTGGAGAATGTTAAGACCCTAAAGTTCATCTCTTGTTTTAGAAGTTAAACCTGCGTTCCGAGGCCTTGAAAACATCCCTTTGCCTCACCTCGATTTGCGTGCACAGTTCGGGCACGTTTTCGGAAAGCTTTTATGTGGAATTTTAGAAAAATAATGAAATTGTCCTTTAAAATTGATTAAAATTGATCTTGGTCAACATTTTTGGTAAACGGACCTGGACGACGGTCCCGTAGTAAAATATGGGACTTGGGCGTATGTCCGGAATTGAATTCCGAGGTCCTACGCCCGATAAAAGAATTTTTAAAGAAAATTATTTGCTGGAAAATATAAAGGCTTTTTAGAAGTGAATTGATGAAATTCTTGATGGTATCGGGCCCGTATCTTGGTTCCGGAGCCCGGTACAAGTTTAAAATAATAACTAAGTTGAATCTATGAAATTTGGTAAAGATCGGAATTGATTTGGTATAAATCGGACGTATAGTTGAGAACATAGAAATTTTGATGTTCTTGAGTAATTTTATGAATTTGGGGTTTAATTCATGGTTGTTGATGTTATTTTGATGATTTGATCGCACGAGCAAGTCCATATGATATTTTTGGACTTGCGTGCATGTTTGGTTTGGAGCCCCGAGGGCACGGGTGAGTTTCGGATAGGACACGAAGTAAAATTGGACATAGGAAAGATTGCTGGTATCTGGTATTTTTGCCCAGGCCTCTGATCTCGCAATTGCGAGACTTGGCTTCGCAATTGCGAAGTTCTCAAGCTTGGGAATTGCGACCCAGGCATCGCAAATGCGAACCAACCCTGGGCAGGCCTTGATCGCAAATGTGACCCTTTTTATCGCAAATGCTAAAGGGGCAGAGTCGCAAATGCGACTAGTTCTTCGCAAATGCGAAGATATCAGGTTCCAAAGGGGTTCGCAATTGCGAACCCTGGTCGCAATTGCGACAACTGAGACCTTCTAAATGAAATTTTGACGAGATTTTCCACACTCTTCAAACCCTAAAACATCTTGGGCGATTTTTCAAAAGGTGCATACTCTTCCAAATCATTAGTAAGTCATTTCTAACTCATTTCTTTCAATCGAATCCATCTTTTTAGATGATTTCATTTCAAAATCAAGGGTTTTTCATGGGAAATTCGGTGATTTTGGGTAGAACTTAGGATTTTCAAATTTTGGGGATTTGAACCTTGATTTGAGGACCGGTTTCAAAACAAATTATATATTTGAGCTCGTGGGTGATCGGGTTTTGGTTCAAACCTCAGTTTTTGACCAAGCGGGCCCGGGGTCGATTTTTGACATTTTGGAAAAATCATTAGAAAACCTATTTTCATGCATTAGAATTTATTCATTTAGCATTTATTTATATCGTTAAGTTAATTGTAACTAGATACAAGAGAATTGGAAGTGAATTTGTGATTGGTGTTGATTTGTATATTGGGATCGGGTTGTACACCGCAATAATATTATATATGGATCGGGTTGCACGCCGCAAAAATATTATGTATGTATCGGGTTACACGCTGCGACATTATTATATATGGATCGGGTTGCAAGCCGCAACAATATTATATATGGATCGAGTTGCACGCCGTAACAATATTATATATGGATCGGGTTGCACGCCGCAACAAGAAAAAAATGAAAGTGAATATTGACTTATGGTGAGGACGAGAGTAAAAGCGCGAAGGGTGATGCCGTGCACTAGTTACTGTTTTCCTTATTCTTGCTTATATGAAATTACGGTGTTCTTTAAGCTTTTCTACTGAAATTCTGTTAGTATTGGATATCCCCCGCAACATGTCCCCCTTCCCATCTTTAACTGCTATTTTCTGTTGTTATTACTTGCCGTATATGATTTAACTGCACAGGTTTACTTGGTAGTCTTGTCCTAGCCTTGTCACTGCTTCACCGAGGTTAGGCTCGATACTTACCAGCACATGGGGTCGGTTGTGCTGATACTACACTCTGCATTGTGTACAGATCCCGGTGCTAGAGCATTTGGACCATAAAGAGGTTGCTGCCTTCAGTCCAGTGGAGACCCGAGGTAGTCCAGCAGACGTTCGCAGGCCTTGGCGTCCCCTTCTCTCCTTTCCATTATGTTTTTACTTATTTCAGAGACAGACTTGTATTGTTCTATTCAGACCACTATTTGTAGTATTCGTAGATGGTCCGTGACATTGTGACACATATTCTGGGTAGTGTTGTATTTTGGATTTGTACTAGTATTTAGTTATATTATTAGAATTCCGTCTTCCGTATTTCTATTATTATTATTATTATTATTGTTATTCCACTGTTGATCGCCTGTTAATTAAAATTGTTAAAAGGTTATGGGAAAAAGGGTAATAAAATCTGTAACATTCTGCTTGCCTAACTTTCATGAGTAGGCGCTATCACGACTCCCGAGGGTGGGAAATCCGGGTCGTGACAGCTTTGCCTCTCATGGAATACATGATTTCTTGCAATGTGCACAGCTGCTTGACTATCACAGAACACAGTTATGGGATTGGCACACATGACTGTCAATTCCTCTAGCAACCTTTTCCCCATACTAATTCACCAACAACCTTCTTGACTGACCTATATTCTGCTTCTGCAGAAGACAATGAAACAATAGTTTGTTTCTTTGACTTCCAACTGATAGGGCTGTCTTCAAGTAGCACAATATACCCACTCACATACTTTCTTGAGTCAGGGCAAGCAGCCCAGTCCGAATCAAAATATGCACTGACAGTGTAGTTAGGATCATTGGATAGAAAAATTCCCAAAGTAGGATCTTTCTTCAAGTATCTAAGTACATGTATAGCAGCCTTTAGATGAGGTTCTCTTGGTGCCTGCATGGACTGGCTTAAATGTTGAACACTATAGGCTATGTCCAATCTAGTATTTTTCAGAAAGTTTAGTTTCTCAACTAGTTTCCTGTAATACCCTAGGTCTGGTAATAAGGCTCCATCTTCATTTCTCAATTTGATGGTAGGATCAAGTGTAGAGCTGACAGAAGAGTATGTCAAACAGTCATATTCCTTTAGTAGATCCATGGTAAATTTCCTCTGGCAAACCAATACTCCATCTGCCTTATACAGCATCTCTAGCCCCAAGAAGTAATGTAACTTCCCAAGATCCTATCTTGAACTGGTGATGCAGGAAAGCCTTCAACTCTCTGATTTCCTCCAAATTGGTTCCAGTAATAATCACATCATCCACATAAACAGCTACAAAGACTGCTGAAGTCCCCTGTTTCTTGTAAAATAAAGAGTAATCACTAGCTGAATGCCTGACACCCCTGGAATGTAGCGACTCTGTCAATTTATCATACCATTGTCTTCTAGCCTGTTTTAGACTGTTGATACCCAATTTTTCCCCATATGTATTTTATATGCAGAGTACCTTCAAAATAGCATATGCATGAATATATAAGTATATCCAAGTATTTCCTTGTTTTTTCCTTAATTTTTAAAGATTTTTTTAATCAATTTATTCCCCTATTTTATCCATAAAAATCCAATAATTATTTCTAAAATTATTAATTTTGGTGATTCATTTGTTGAACTTTTATTTTTATGCTAAAATATAGCTAAAGGATTTCTTTTGCATATTTTTAAAAAATTATTTAGTATTCTTAAGGCTAAAATTGTATAATTGCAACATTAGCCTCTTTTAGGATTAATCACGTTTATATTCACAAAAATTAGGTCTGGTATTTTTAAATAGCTAATTATGTACTATAAATCATTTTAGTACCTTTAATTTATTTCCAGAAATTAATTTATTATTTTTTATAAATCAAATAGGAAAAATTGGCTATTTAAATAATAGCCCAATTACATTTCAATTGTAGCCTAAATTCGACCCCAATTTGAACCCTAATTACCCCGACCCAATTTCTATTAACCCCCGACCCAAACCGACCCATGCCCACATCCCTACTTATCCGTTTAAATCCAGGCCGTTGATCACTCAGATCAACGGCCAAAAATCATCCTTGCCTTAATCAATCCTAAACGACCCCCTAAACCCTATCATTTCTCACCATACGCCGCCTCTAAATCCCTCCTCTCTCAAACACCCTCTGCAACACCCCCAAACCCTAGCCGCCGCCACCTTAATCTACCCTAATCCATGGCTTTCCAGGGTCATTTAAGACATGTATCAGCCTTCCATGGCTTCTACGTGTTTGGTTCTGTGGTCTCATGACCAGACTTTGAAGGGACTTGGTCCAGTATTTGCTCGATGACCTTTCTCCGGTCATCTCTGACCTTTCTCCGGCCAGCCATGGCCATTCGAGTCAGACCTTTGACTCTCCTATTTAGATCGGTAACTTTCAAGTCCTTTCTCGTTGCTTTTGGGTTCTTCTGAAACACTAATCTCTAAGACCTTTTCGACTTCTTTCAAATCTACCTTAGATCTATGCTTGCCATGAGTTTTTTAAGCATCTTCTCGAAGTTTCTTTAACTTTGCTTTCAAAGCAGCTCTTCATCTTTTCCGACTAGGGTTTTCTTTTTAAACCTCTTCTCTGATCTTAACGTGTTTCTGATTTTGTTATGTTTTGCTCATGTCGTTCTCCTATCTGAGTTTAGCATGTTAAAAAATCCTAATTTCTTTGGGTTCATTCGAGTTTCTAGAGATGTTTTGCTAAGTACTTGTTTGATTTATTTGTTTATCATCTTTAAACTCGATTGATGTTGAAAACCCTAATTTCTTTGGGTTCATTCGAGTTTCTGAAGATGTTTGTTAAGTGTTTGGTATCTGTGGTTGGTTGGGGCATGACAACTTTGGACATTGCTGTGCATGACCCAAACCTGATCCCCCTGGGATCATAACCTCTGTATCCCCTCTATATGTTGTGTGTTTCGATTGGTTTATGGGCATGCCAGCACCATCTATTGCTGTGCATGCCCAAATATGATCCCTGCCTAAGGATATATGTTCTTTGCAATATATTCCCAAACCCCTGACCCCCTTTGTATGAAATTATGAACTCTGTGCTTTATTGCTACTGTTTTCCCATCACCCTTCACCCTCTCCTTTCTCCCCTCAGTTTTTAAAACCTTATTCCTGCACTTCCACCATATTCTTAGATTTAAGTTCCGCCCCTCTTGTGTGAGCCTTGCCTTGGGACCCATGAGCTCCCTCTAAACTTGGACACATAAGGGCTGGCCCTTTCACACTGCACTCATCTCTATCTAGTTCTGTGAACCTGGGTATAAGCGCTGCCCGGGGTCCCTTGAGACCCTTAGGGAACTCTGACACACACAGGTCTGAGAAAGGCTTTGAAATTAATGGCAATTGCAATGATTAATTATGTAAATCAGACAGGAAGTCAAGAATCAGGCTTCCTCTAGTTGTAACTTCTTTCGTTTTATATTGTGATGTAATTCATTATTTCTGGTTCGTATTAATTTGTAATAAACACTCGGGGTTGGCTAGTGTAAAAGGGATGGGTAATTATGCTCAAGGGTAGAAAACATGCCTATAGGATTTGTGTTCTGAATGATTCAATTCTACATTTAGAAAGCATGCCTATAGGACTGGTTTTAAATCCTATGTGTTCAATTCTGCATTTAGACGCCATGTCTATAGGATTTATTTTTATTTCTACATGCATTTAGATATCATGTCTATAGGATTTATTTTAAATTCTGCATGTTCAACTTCACATCTAGATAACATGCCTATAGGACTTATCTTAAATTCTGCACGTTTGTTACCACTTAGATATCATGTCCATAGGGATAAAAATCAGCAATAGTGGATACCATCATCTGCAGAATCTGAGACTAGTCTAATTTAAAATCAGTCTATTCTGAACCAGTTTTTAAGTAACCTAATCTCCTTATTTAACGCGGTTTAGCAAGCATGCCTATAGGATCTCAAACCGTTCATTTTCTTAGTTGTTACTGCTTTGCCACATTAGGGATCAGTAATACATACCTTGTTCATAAGATCTCACCTAAACACTTAGGCAAGCCTTAGGTGATAACAACTAATAAAACTGAGCCCGTTTCTGTTAACTAGTAATTGCTACAACCAGCAAGCAGGCTTGATTCGGACTTCTTGTCTGAATTATATAATAAATTGGTCTGCTTTAACAACTTAAAATTCCCTTGCCTTAGTATCTTAGATTCAGACCTTGATTGTTTTTTGAGTCATGCTATTTGATTGCTTTGTTTGAGGAGGTATATATGAGCCTTCAGTGTTTTATATGCTTCCCCTTTAATGTGCAGTCCAATGTGTTTTTGTATGTCGCCTTAGATTTTTCACCTTTGAAACCTCAAAGTCAGCCTAATATCCCTCCCCTTTAGGAATAGTAGTCCTAAGTGCCTCCGGGACTGATAGGATTGGGACGGCTAATAGCATGCAATAGTGGTCGAGACCAATCCGCGCTTTAGTACCTTAACGGGGTGGGAAGGGTAGATATGTATATGAAGACCGGTGCGCTAATACTACATGTAGCCCCTCTTTTGAGGAGTGATTACCGGGTATTACATTGATGTGATCCATATTGTAAATAAACCTAGGACCTCCTCCCCTCTCTTTCTTTTCCTTTAAAGCGTTATAACTTCTTATCAAAATCAGCCTTTTAATGATTGCTCTTTCAAACTTTGTTTTACTTTCAAACATTTACGTATTAAAATCCCCTCTTATTTGAGCCTTATCTGTTTACATGTTAATTGCACCAAATTCACAAAAAACTATCTGGCCGGGAACCACACTAGTGGATCCTGAGGGGTGCCTAACACCTTCCCCTTAGGATAATTTCAAGCCCTTACCTAAACTTAGAAATAAACCTTATAGGTGTCCTAATGAACCATAAATCATTAGGTAGCGACTCTTCAAATGAAAAACCCAATTCCCAAAAGGAACGAGTTGCCCTATACCCAAAAATGTCATTAACCCGATTCTCCCGACACAAGGAGGGAAAAAAGGGGGCGCGACAGCATGGCGACTCTGCTGGGGATATTAGGCTTTTACCATTTCAGATTGTTCTTGTGAATTTGTACCTTCCCTTTATATGCAATTACTTGTTTAAATTCCTTTAAGCGTTTAATTTCTTTTACAAGGCAAAACTGACTTATCTTTTTCGTTTCTTTTCTTTATTGCTGTTTTAAATTATAAACTACTGTATTTACTGCTTTCTTAACATGCAAATTCATGACAATGTGCTTTTTAATTATTGCATAATCATGCTCAACATCATATTCCACTCGTGCCAAACAAATACCATAGCAACTCTTATAATGAGTGGTTGCGCTCTTCCTATATTATTACCCCCTAAATTTGGAAAGGCATATTTGCGGTAAAACCAGTCGATCAACAGTGTAGTCGACGGTTCCGTGCCTTCCCCCTTGAGTTGTCCGCTCAAGGGTACCAATCTAAAACCCCATAGAAACCTTACTCTATTTGAATTGTGCATGCATCATGGTCAAACCTAGCTGGGTCAGTTATGTTGTCTGCATAATGATCCTTTAAGATAACATTGTCCAAAGTCCACTGGGTTTCCCTAAACCCAAATGGACATCACCATGTTTTGTGCATTTATTTGGAGAACTAAAATGCGTCGTGATAATTACTGGTATTAAATCGTCGAGTCTAGTGGGGGGTAAGGGTCTAACCTTATTTGCCTTGCAGAAATATGAGGCACGAAGACCCTAGATTCGGCATGGTCACCAACGTCCATCCAAGGTTGCTAAGCTGGTGGAAGGATCTTCACTCTAGTGATCAAACTCTCATCTCAAAATATCTGGGAAATCTACCATCCCTTCTGTAGATCCAACCTAACAACAAGATCATAGAGGCTGCTACACTGTTCTGGGATTGAGAAAGGATCGTATTCCGCTTTGGGGACATTGAAATGACACCCCTGTTAGAGGAGATAGGAGGATTAGCCGGTCTAGTCTGGGAGACTCCGGGTCTACTGACGCTTGAGAATTGCAAAGGCAAGGGTTTCCTCAAAATGATGGGTTTAAAGAAGAATCCAGAGTTGACATGCTTGAAATAATCCTACATCCCTTTTGATTACCTTTATAAAAGGTACGGT